AGGTGCTCTCGGTGTTCTATATCAATTACTCCTACTGCCTTGGGTGAGCAACTCTATAGGCATGGTGTTTGCCAGTTGTCAATTGCACCTATTGAGGAATTTGCGTTGTTTAAGAGAAAGAAAGTGGTCGGCGTGGGAGGCTGACAATGAGGAAGGAGCATGTCACTGTGAATAAGGCAAAACTGCCTATCGATTGGTTTCCTTGCATACATCGACAGACATTTAAGAGATGAAGTAGCTTTAAAGCTAGGGCAGGGAGTTTCGCTGAGCGACTTTGGCAACCGTCCAATAGCGCTGAGAAATGACGAGGAGAGCTGATTGGTGGAAACCTCAAAGCGGGATATCTATACAGTCCTCATCATTATAGACCGGTGGGGCGGGTGAGCCGCGCTGCCGTGACACGGCTGTGACGCGGCAGCGATGGCGGTCGCGTCACAGCCGAGTCACACGCGGCGCGGCTCACCCGCCCCACCGGTCTGCAATGATGAGCACCATAAGTCACTGTTTCCGAAAGAAAATGATTGTTTCGGGGCGTATGACGACCGTTTCTTCGCAAGAGTATCCTGGAAAAAAGAAACAGAAGAAAGATGCAGGCCGCCGTTACACTCCTTTGTCCTCCGAAGTAGTCAAGCTGCGTTTCTTATGGCTTGACATGGTCGCATCTTAGGGATGAAAAGACGGCCTCTAAACGAGGTGTGTAACGCTGAACGCTAATCGTGGTGGACTCCTGAAGGAGGTGCACAATCTACGATCACTAAGTTTCCAAGGTTCGAAAAGAGTGGACGGCATAGTGCAAGCTGTACTTGCGGTGAGCCACTCTTTCATTGTGATGCCGCCTGTTCGTAGATAGCCGCCTAGGTTCGAAACTTCTCTTGATATTGCAGGTCTGTATGCAGAACCAGTCGGATCAGCCAGCTGTCGTCGGATGCTACGCAATATTGTGTGTAGGCTTGGCTTTGCCAGGCTCCCAACTTTTGGGTGAATTAGGATGTGAGAAATGTGCAAAATGATTATAAGGAAATTCTGATCGAAAATGCAGAGGGTAAAGTGGAAACAACTTTATATCACTCATGATTAACATACATCGAATCCTAATCGCTAATTCTGCCTTTTAACCGTGTTATGCTTGAGAACGTTCATCATTTACTCATGCTTCTTGCAATGATATGAGAAAGGGCTAAAGTTGAAGTAGTCCGAATGTGCAGTGTGCGAATAACGTATACGCGTTGTTACCACCGAAGGAGGCACAATGGTGGTTACCTGTATGACAGACAAAAGAGGATTTAATTTTGCCTCTTTCATGTCAAACCGTGCATCATACGGAGAAGCTGGAGCTGCTCGTCGTCAGCGCACATAGCACAACCATTTGCAAGTTTCTTCTTTCAGATTTAGGCACTATTCACCCTTCACTGCTTCAATCATCCGAAATTAGTCCAGTTTGACCGAATTTTTTCTCCATAGACAGAATTGGCTGAAAAGCTGCCCCTAGTATAGTTTGACCTTGGACACGAATATCACATCCGTTAGCCCGAAATCTCTTGAAGCCAGCTCCACAGGCTCCGAGCCAAAATGACCTAAATCTCCAAGTTTGCTGAAAACTTCTTCACGGGCGTAGCTTGATCCCCCCGAACACGAATATCACATCTGTATGGGGATCGAGAATATTCAGGATAGAGTAAAGGGGGCACGCGTGATAGCGCAACTTACTTCTGTTCGTTTGCACTATTCTCTAGAGACAGTGATCCTTTCCTCTGCTAAGGCTGAGCCTTAGTAAAGGGAGCTATCACTCTCGCAGGCAACCAGGAAGAATTGCGCTATTCTTCACCCTTTGTCAAACGCCCTGCCCTACGAACATATCCGCACGAAAGCGACTGAGGTTTGCGCTACAGTCGCCGGAGTTAATCGAAAACAACCATGGGATGAGTCGCTGAGACGTATGCGCCAAGACGTTTTCAGACTGAACAGATGTGATATTCGTATTCTCGCAATTCCTTCACTCTCTTCTTAGAAATACCCGTGTCGGCCTCGTGCTCGCTTGGTTCCTGGGGAGATTCATACATAGTAGAGTTCGGCGTTGTGGCATGTGCAAAATGTGAGCAACCGGTCGAAGCCTATACCGTACCACAATCACGTGAATATTGGCCGTGGCTATTCATAATGAACCGCGAGCACAAGGCCGTCACAGGAACATGTGGAGACGAACATTCGTAAATAATGTGAGAAACATGGATATTTCTCAGAAGAAATTAAAGGAATTGAGAAGGAGCGAAAGACCGGCAACATTGGAGCATCACGTAGCTCAGTAGCTCGGGAGGAACTAAATAGGTATTGACTCCGGTCTAGATGACCTTTCGTAATGAGACCATACATATCAGACGCCTTTTGGGCCGAACATTATTCTATCCTTCGAATTCCCCTGCAGTTCCCTGACATGAGTGGCGTCATGGCTCTATAGCAAATGTGTTGGTACACGAAAGCCAGTCCTAGAAATCGCTTTTATGCCGTTATGACTCCATTTTGCGGCGGTAGTTGATGTCGCAGGTGTTCCATCCCCGATGTCAATTCTTTCAAACAGTTGTACTTGCTTGTTCGTTTTGTCTTCAACTTTGATAACTCCGGCATCTTATGAGCAAATGTGATTTTCTAGCCCAAAGTGATCATTGCAAAAAAAAGTCGTTAGCCTTGAGAAGAGCGGATAAAAAAAGACCCTATCGCAGCCTGCAACCTCACAAGCACTACGTGAATCAGACAAAAACAAAGTGTGGGTTGGATGTGTGTTGACGTAAAATCCCGCGTACCAGGCGTACAAGAGAATTTTCCCAGAGAAGGGAGAAGGGAAGAAATTGGAAATACACGAGCGGAAGCGGTAGAATGATGGATTCGCTACTCTTCACGGATATTTTGGCCTTGTGCTGTGGCCAGCCTTGCCGCCAAGTTTCGCTTACACATCGCCTTGAATGACAGGAAGAACTAGACATGGCTGTGTATCCGTTGGCTGTATATGGGTTGCAGCCTAGAGGGATGTTCAATATTTTGAACTGCTTCTTTAACGGCACTACAGATCGGTTATGATATTTGAACGGACACCTGGTCAGCCACGGGCAGCGCGGGTAGCAGAGACTTGCAATCAGCAGTACAATTTCCTAACCAGTAAAGCATCAACTGTTGACTCATCATGTATGTCCTACTGGCTCAAAGCTCAAAATCGTCCACGCGAAAACATGTTTCGGAAAGCAACCTTCCGGTGATCTATTGAATCTAGGTCGAGGAGTAAGCGAGAGAAAAACGAGCGATCCTACTACATATAGAATTTTCACGTAAATTCACGATTTTCTAACGAATTCACAACTTTTCAACCCGATTTCACGACTTCTAAACCGAAGTTAAGACTTATTTACCAATGCCTCAATAGACATTACTGTAAGCCCCGCCCCGTGACCGCCGCTACAAGAAATTTTGCCTGATTTTTTGTTCATTGTGAGTCCCTAGCATGCAAGTGAGACTCAATCCCGCCGATTTACACCACTTATCGAACTTTGTACCAACCATAAGGATGCCCGACTTAGATCGTGAGTCGCACTATTCTTTCCTTGAGCTCCTCTGGGTAAAAGACCATTGCTAGATAATTTTAGTAGGTTACAGTACTGCTACGGAGAGGTCCGTATGAGGCCTCTGAACCACCTCGGGCAGCGGGCATGCAAAATAGGGCGCCCCAATGAAAAGCATTCAAACTGGAGATTTGGAAAGCTTCCACCCTTCCTGTACTTAAAGGCAGCGCCAAGTCCACTTGATGTTCCTACGCCCTTTCTGGATATCATAGCCCTCCCCATAGGGATGCAGTATGTACTAGTTTTGCATCACAAAGGCGAGAGGATAGCGCCCATCACTAGTGAAGAGTCGACCGCCCCGCCCACCTGGCGACCACGACGCCCAACTTCATTTCTAATGGTAGCCTCATGGTGCGGTTGTTCCATTGCTGCTTCTCTCCACTTCGTGTGGTGAGAGTGAGGTGATAAGGGGAAACAGCTGAAATCAACAAGTAAGAACTCGTGCAACCACTCCTTCTCTTCGCCTTGAGCACGTACAACCACTATTCGGTATGAAACTCCCTATAGGGCATCTTGCATGTTTTCTTTTTGATTTTTTTCACATTTCACAAATAGGCTTCTTGCTACCTTGCTATTACCACCGGAGAACATAGTGATAGAGACAGGGCCACTAAGATAGTGGATAACATGTCGTTCTTACGCTCAGTAGGACAGATTCAGCCACCCTTTAATCTAGAGATTCGCTACATTTCGAACATTCAGACTGAGAAAGTATTTTGTTGAACGCGGATTCAAAAATGTTGAAAAAATTAATGTGGTCAATACAGCCTGAAAATAGCTTTATAATAGCAGGGCAAATGATTGCAATTGATAATCATCAATCTCATCTTTAGCTTGAGATTCTCCAAAATGTCAAAGTGCAAAGCCAGAGGCTGGATGTACGGACGACCCTACCCCCAAATTTGCGTCAGCCAACTCTGCGTCTCCACCGCTTCGGGAGAGCCCCTCGAGTATAGCATATGGCCGCTCTGGGAGACGTCCCCCTGGGGTGTCTTCCCCTAGAGGGGACCACTCCCCTCGAGGGGGAATATAGCATACGGCCCCAGGTGTTCTCTTGACAGCCCGCGAAATTCAGTCGGTAACTGGTCCAGCGGTCGTCTTCCAAGCGCATGACGTGCTTGGCCCACCTGATCTTCGAAATCTTGGAAAATGCGGCTGCGTTTTTTCATTTTCAGTGGCCACGTAGCAAAGGCGGTCGAGCAATAAACGGTTGCGATTTGGCGCTGACCAGCAATCAAGGGAGCGTCATGCATTCAGCTCCCATTGCGCATCCCATGAGTGTTTGCGAGCTAATGTTGCGAAAAAAAACTTTGTACTACCTGTTGCTGTTATGACCCTGAGGATTGGCTTAAAACTGTCAATGTATGACGAACTGCCCGTGAATTCATGAGAATGCCAGCCCCTTCTGAGAAGCATGGTGAGACACAATGCCAGTCCAGTCATCTGAATTGTGTAGTGATAACATTTTGTCAAAGTCATTCTCTCTGGCATCTTAACTCTTGCCTTCGTGTTGTTTTCCTGACTTGCTTGCCCTTTTCACCTGATCTGTGGGTAAGTTTAGTTTTCTTTCAATGCATTTGCTTTGTTTTTTTATTTTTAGGTAGATCAATGATTTCTCCACGACCTTTCTCTGCTCGATTGAGGTCGCTCAACAGTTCATCTACTTGCTCATGGCTACCACTCACTGCAGGTACCTCCCATCTTGCTTTTTGACTTGAACACACCACAACTCAGGTCTTTCCTGGTCGGCCAATTGACGCCCTCTGTCACTCGTTTCACAGCACCACAATGCGCCGACACTAGTCTCTTCAAATGCTATGAGATACCCATTCTCTTTGCTGACTTGGGCAGCACTACTGTACCATCGGGGTTTGTCTTGCTCTCCGAAATCTTCGCATCGACTCTCATGAATGAAGTGTAACGTGATAGTATTTCATCGTTCCGACTAATACTATGCAAAATCTAGCAGGATAATTTGCTCGCCTTTCAGTTCAACAACAACGATACCAGCACCTAGAAACTCTATTTTATTATTAGATGCGTCGTACACATGCACGCCATTTGCATTTATCAGCTTAGGCTGTTCTCGTTGAATCCTCCACCCTCGTTTGAGCTAACAGTCACAGAAAATATACTTATCACTGATTCTGTATCCAGAAGGCAGGTACACGAGCTCGCTACAATCCTGCCCAACATAATATGTTTTTTCGCCCCAACGGCATCGTGTTGAGTGAACCACTATTGTCTTGACATCCATGTTCTTCGCTTTCTCTCTAGGCAGTGAATTTCGGTCTTTTGATAGGGTTTCATTTCTTTTTTGCCTCTCATTGACTCTTCATGAGCTGCAAAAGTCACTTAGTAACGGGGCCACTTTTTGAGGGATTAAGACATCCCTTTTTCTTTTCTCCTTTTTTTCCCCTCCTAGTTTCCTACTCTCGTTACTACTCTACCCTACGTCCTATTGTAGTTGAGTATCGACCTCAGTTTGCGAACTCTACTTGCAGAGCCTATCTCGCTGGGCTATTTCTTTTCTGTCCTGCTCTTCGCGCAACGAAAGTACTCGTAGACGCGCATTTTGCACCGGATCTGCCCCTTGAGCAGCCCATTTTTACGGTTTTTTGTAAAATTTCGATATTTCTCGAAATTCTTGCATTTTTCGGCTGCTACGTGAAGCCACGCCTACTATAAGAAGTCACCCACTTCGAAGAAGCCCCACCCATTTTTGAAAAATGGTGTAAATCGCCCGGGATTGGATCGCACTGTGCATGCTAGGACTGCACGAATGGAACAAAAAATCAGTGCAAAATTCGAAACTCTTCTTCTTCGTTCTTCCGTGTTTGGAAGAAGGAAAGAAGATACGAAGAAGAAGAAGGAAGAAAAGAAGGAAAAGAAGAAGAACACACGAACAACAACAACAACAACAAAAACAACAAAGCAAACAACAAACAACGAAACAACAACAACAACAACACAACCAACGAACAACATCAACAACAACACAAACAACAAAACACAGAAAAGAAGGAAGAAGGAGAGAAGAAGAAAAAAGAGAAAGAAGAAGAAAAAGAAGGAGAAAAAGAAAAGAAGAAAGAAGTAGATATCACTCCAAGTGGGTATTGTACTGTGAAGTGGGTATTACTCCAAAGTTTCCTCTATGAGGGCCAGTCGGATCGCCCGGCTTCGAAGAGCTATCCTGTTTCCGCGCGTGAAGTGGGTATTACTCCCGAGTTTTGTCAGTAGGGCCAGTCGGATCGCCCGGCATCGAAGAGCTATCCTCTTTCCGCGCGTGAAGTGGGTATTACTCCTGAGTTTTGTCAGTGAGGGCCAGTCGGATCGCCCGGCATCTAAGAGAAATCCTCTTCCCGCGTGTGAAGTGGGCATTGCCCCAGAGATCCTCTTTTCCCTTGTGAAGTGGGTATTGCTGTAAAGCCTCCTCGATGAGGGCCAGTCGGATCGCCCGGATTGGTCGGATCGCCCGGCTTTGCCGGGCGCCCCAGAGTTCCTCTTTCCGCGTGTGAAGCGGGTATTGCTCCAGAGTTCCCTCAATGAGAACCAGTTGGATCGCCCGGCTTGGTCGGATCGCTTAGAACTGCCAAAGAGTTGGTAACCCGAGGCTATAATCTTTGAAGCCACTTGGGATAAGAAGAACTAACAAACTTCTCGTGCTGCGAACCGAAGAAACCCAAACTAACTGGGAGAGGAAGGGGAGCACGACTTTGAGCATGACTTTGACTATTCTCCTTTGTCCGTTTTTTGGAGTGAATGCACGCATCACTTTTGAAGGAATGATGAAACTTTTGGCGCGGATCAGAGCCTTTTTCAGATGTGTCACGCAAATGCGTAACGACAGAATTCACGCTGTCTAGTTTTTTTTTGAACTGCTGTTGCAGCCGCTTTCCCCTGGATCCCCCCCTCCCCCAAATAGTATGACGTTTAACAAACTCTCACTGCGCTCACTAAACAGGTCAGCCACGCTACCACTTCAGTAAGTCTGCTTTCAGCCTCTGTCTCGCAATCACATGGTTTACCACTTCGGTCGCATATTTCGCGTGGCTTTCACGTGCGGCGTCTTCCCTCCCCCCCACGTTCACCGAACCTGACACGACCCTGCCGTTGAAGATTCTTCATCGAATGCTAGACCCTGATTGCCATAAAGCTATCTAAAACTGAAAATCAGAAATTGATCGCTCAGAAGGACTGTTTAGGAGCACTCTTTCCGCTGATGATATCAGGCTCTACAAAGCAAAACCTATTTGTGAGTAACTGGTCAGAGAGAGCATTCACCGATCTGTTTGCCCTGAATCGCCCCTCTCGATTGTGACAATTATAATCGCTGTGCGCCCCCAAGGGTTCACTCCATTGCGTCGCACGTGATGACCTGCTTGATCTTGAAAGCAAGCTCAGTATTGTACTTCAGTACTGTGTTTCTGTGAAGGATGTCACATGAATTGCACCTGTCGGACAGCGAGCACAGAATGGCCGGGACTGACTTTCCTCCTCTTTGTACACACTGGAAGGACTTTTTGGGACATTGTGGTTGGGCCGGATTCCTTGCGTGAACCTTGCACATATCTTCCACAGGATCTCTCAAGGACAAAAGCGGCCTGCTTAGCCAAAAGCAGATGCCCAAGGAAAAAAGATTTCACTATGTTATTGGTGGAACTCCGAAGCGATTTCGCCGGATACTGGCATAGCAGTGACGGTCATATTATGCTCCAATAAACTTCAAAACGCTGATGTTTTGACTTTATTAAGAAACAATTAATTTATTTCTACTTTTCGGCATTGCGAAACCGCATGTGGCGGTGGAGTCACGCTCAAAGATTAGGGTTCCCGATTGAAGGGTGCGACCGTAGCCGGCTTATTCACCGAAATTAGCAGCCTCTAGCTACCACCTTCTTTGACCACTTTTGCATCTTTTAAAAGGCGAAAATCCGAAAATCAACGTCTGCTCGATACTGGGACCTCCCTCTTCATTTTGTCATAGTTCTGCAGTTCTGCAACAGTGGAATCCAGAAGCTGTGTGAATGGTGTTCGCTAGTCATAGCTATTAATGGTGATTACCATGTGGATTGCAGCTGTCGCTAAGTGAAGGAAAATTTGGTTCGAAAAGTAGGTTTGTGTCGTAGGAAAAGTCGGAACTGGCTTAGTTTCGAAAGATTGGGGGTTGTACTTATTATAACCTGCTTTCCAACCTAGTATTAGGGAGTAAGTGGTTATTATCCACTGACCATTTCAAAGCTCTGCAGAGCAAGCTGTTTGAAAAGTAGAGCAACTTTTCATTTATGCGGTTGGAAGGACCAACCCGGGATCGCAATTACGAAGGGCTCTCTGCCAGATTGCACTAGTTCCGACTCCAAATGAACCACATCATCACAATCAGAAAGCCGCCCGATTAGGAAATTTGGGCTATTTCTTCGCGGAGTCATGTCACGCGAGACCGGCTCGCAGTTTCCAGACGCAATCTGCATCCATTATTGAGCTCGCATTGTACATACGTTCCAACTCCTCACATGGAATATTTTACGCTTCTTTGTGGGAATCGATAGTCTAACATTTGTGCGATTGAATTACTTCATCCAGTGCATGATGTGTGACACTCTCGTGATTTTCACATTTGCATTTCTGTGAAGATCTCGTAGCGATGCTGTGGTCCCCTAGGACCCCTCGTCTTCACTCGAAGACGAAACTATTGATCCTGCTGTTTCGCAGTGGTTCCCGAGAGTTACCCCGTCATTTCATTCAACGAGATTTAAGCAGTTCATTCATTCCTTATACGTTAGGTTTTTTGTACAAATTTTACGTTAGGTTTTTTGTACAAATTTTTTATACTGTTTTTCTTGAAGCTTCTAGTTCTGTTAAAATGGATATTAAAACAGTGGATGTCAACCTGGTACCCACTACAAAACCACTGAAGTCTTTTTGGAAGTGCGCGGTATGACCGGAGTACTTCACGGTCGTAGACTCCTTGTTATGTAGTCGTTGTTTGTTTGTTTTTTTCGCTAGAAAATGTTGCAGCACGACGCTACCCGGGAAAAAGTGTGACAAACGCTTCTATGCCTTATTGAGTAAACATGCTTTTGAATGATTTTCATCTAGAAATTGCAATCACTGCTCTCTATGTACAGGTTGCACATCATATATGTGACTGCTACCTGTGATATTCTTACTTTAGGTTGTTCATCTTATGTAGGGCTGCGACAACAAAGTGAAAATGCGCACCTTGTGGCGATCTGACTGGCCACGCCCGCTCCTTATTTTCATTTTATTTCGGTTATCATTTTGCCAACTTCGTCACATTTCACCTTTCGAACTGACGATAAATTCTGGAGCAATTCGAGGAGAACGTGTGGTAAGTAAGCACTAACTTAGTGGTTCAGTGCTGTAAAATTGAACCGACATTAAAATCTCACCTTCAGATTGTAAAAGGAGAGGATTACACGGTTTTCAAAGGTATTCCGTATGCCATGCCTCCGGTTGGGTATCTTCGATTTCAAGTATGTTCAAAATTTTTGCTGAACAAACAGACTCGCGTTTAGCAAGCTATATATAGTCGTTTTCGCTGCAGACGCTTGCACGTTTCAGGGGGCTGAGATTGGCGCTACGCAGGCCCGTTTCCACAATTGTTGTAGCTTCCCCCCCCTCCCACAGGGCACGCCATTGCGTTGTGATCATTTCCTGAAAAATACGACCCCCCTAATCATTTTCAAGTACGACCCCCCCTCCCCACCCATGTTACCTCTTCCCTGAATTTTTCCAAGCTCCTGCCACTTTGTCTATTTTTCCCAAAAAATTTCGGTTTTTTTTTACAAAATTTTGCTGTCGAGCGGAGGTGGGGGG